AAGGATTTTGCTCACTGTAACGCAAATGAACTGTTTTTAAAAAACCAAATAAGTTTTTTCTTTCTTTTTTTTTTTTTTTTTTTTTTAGAGAGAGAGAGAAAGAGAGAAGAATCCTTTATTTTCCAGAAAGCTCCTGACTAGATGCTAGGTGTGAGGGTAGGGAATACTTTGTGACACACGCCCCATCAACTGAACTTCTCAGGGAGCCGGTTCAGGAGAGCAGACCCATCAGATCATGGTGTCTCCCCTGTCTCACACTTCCACCCTTTCTTTTTTATCTCTAGGTCCTCATGGGGCAATCTCTCTTACTGTAGAATTGCTGTGGAATCCCCAACTGACATACAACTGTCTGATGGCCATCCTAGCCTGCATGGCCCATAAACAGCCCACACACGATACACCCAGGACAAATCTCAACCTTTTTCTCACCAAAATGTTCTCTTTTCATCTCCACTCCTGGGAGTCACCCCAGACTTCATTCCTTCCTGCAAGCAGAAGTCTGTCACTTTTTCCTGTGACGTCACTCAAATCTGTCCTTCCTCTTTCTACATAACCTCTACCTGAGCCCAGTTTCTTACTGATTTACTGTAACACTGTCCCTCTAATCTGGCCCTACTCTATCCATCCTCCACTCTGCCTCATTAGCAATCTGGTAGCACTGTGTAGCTTAAAATTCATCAGTGTTTGTTATTGCCTATAGGACAGCCGAACCAACTAAAGATAAATTGATGACGCACAACCATGAACTCCATATTGTACTAGCTCTGAGAACATCCACATGGTAGGTTGAGAGCTGGCCTCATAGAGTTTACAGTCTCAACATGGAGACATGCCGTAGTGTTATCAAAAGGAAAGCGAGGACACGAAGGCAACCTATCGCAAGGGAGCTGGCCTGATGTAGGTGGGAGGGAAGGTCTCCCTGCAGAAGAGAGAGGACAGTGACACCTGGAGGATGAGGAATGATCTTCCATATGAGGGGAGGAGAGCAAAGTGCTCCAAAGGGAGAGAACATCAGGGAGGCAGAATGTGACATGGCAGAGGAACTGAGCAGTGTGGCTGGCACCCAGAGGGTGAAGGTTGAGGGGCAAATAATTAAGCCGGGAACACAAACAAGTACAAGATCATGGGTGGACCCGGAAGGTGTGTATGTTGCCTGTGTAGAGACAGTAATACAAGCCCCATGAAGAAAGCAAATCACCTATAGAAGGCATGAAGAGTAAGAAAAGCTCCAGGACCGAGTCCTGAGAGATGCTTTTTACAGGTGGGAGGAGAAGGAAGGGTGAGGTGTGTCTTGTCTATGGCAGGTATGTCCCAGGACAGGTGGGATGAGTGCTCCAGAATGAGTAAGTGGCTGCTATGTCACACACGGTTACGAGTGGAAATGAAAAGCAAGGAGGCCAGAGTGAAAGGAACTAAGCCAAGTTGCCAAGTCTTAGGCAATTTTAGCTCCAAGGCTCCAAGGCTCCAAGCCAAGAATAGTCTACTACACCTAAAATAATCTCCCAATAGAGTTTTAACTGGCCATTGCATAATCCCAGGGCTGACATTTAGGTCAATGTAATTTATATGGATTGGGCCCCTGTTAGATGTTAGCGCCATGAAAGAAGAAAGCGCCTTCCACAGGGATGAGGCCAGTCCAGAAGGAACAATGGGAGAGCTATATAAGAGTTACACAATCTGGCACGATGAGCCACAGGAGTCGCTGAAATTCACAGAAAGAAGGGATCAGAGTGTGCTGCCATGGGCAGTGGTGGTTTCTCCAAGCAAACAATCCTGAATTTGGCCTCAAGGAAGAATGAAAGACAAAGAAGATTGAATTTCAAGTAGGAAGATGAGTATGAGCAAAGTTTAAACAGATAATAATTCAACAATTCAACGAATTGTTTCCTGGCTTGTGAAAAAAAAACCCTCTGTAGAACAAAAGGGTTTTTATAAGAAAAGCAAGAGGGGGAAAACTCAGATGAGTAGTGAAGATTGGCCCACACAATGCCTGAATTCAATGCACAGCAGGTTCCACCTGCAGAATCCAGGAATTCCTCAAGTGGGCAATGGGAAATCACCTGAGCTTTGAACACGGAAGCAACAATTTTTTAAAAATGAAATTTTAGAAAGATTCATTTGGTGATAGTGTTTGAGATGGGTTCGAAAGAAGAGAGCTAAGAAGCCAAAAACTGTCCCCCAAGGAAGGTGAATGCTTATTGGAGCGCTCATTAAAATCTGACCATATGCAAACGCCCTGAGTGTGATCCTAGTCAAGCTCCACAGTCCAATGGAAAGACAATAATTAACCCCATACAGACCTGTTACGGACCTATTATGGGTAGGGAACTTAGTGGGCACTGGGAGAGGGTAGAGAGCAGAACGTAATCTCAGTTCTGAAGTTTATCCTCTGATGCATGTGGAAGACAACCGGAAGCCAAGGCAACAATGCTGTCATTGTAACACGTAACAAGAACTACGAGCAAAACTCAGCAACAAACTTGAGGCAATATGACAGCCTGGAGTGGGCAGGCAATGTCTCTGCCAGAAAGTGACATAAGATTTTAAGCTTACAAGACAAAAGGAACACGTCATTGCTATAAATAAGGACACTGAGAGGGGAGACACAGAGGAACACAGAGGTGGAATTCTGTCTCCTGTACCTTCAATCACCAAGGCCCAGCTATCGGGCCAGCTTTCTACCACCTCTTCTGCCCTTGACCCTTGACCTCACATTGCACCTTCAAGATTCTTCCTTCCAAAGAGGACTCTGGAGTTCCTAACATTTCGGGGAAAGGGATTTCAAAAACAACAAAATTTTCAGGCTGGCATTTCCCACTTTCTACAAATTGTAAGAATTAGATAAATCTTAGACAGGGTGACTATCAGGAATACAACTCAATTTTGCAACAAAAGTACTGTATGACCAGAGGGAAAAAATGCATCAAGACCAAAAAAAAAAAAAAAAGGCCATTGGGTCATCCTATGACGGATCTTCAGTGTGATGCAAGTGTTTTACTTCTCTTCAAGTGACATCAGACCAGTTAGGATATGAGTTTAGTTTCTAGGCCCTGCCTAGCCTCCCCTACCCTCAGAGCTAAGTTCCCTTTCTCCATCCAGACAAGAGGAACTGTGCTCAGAAATTCCAGGCATGAGCTAATGCTGGATTCCTTAGCCTTGTCCATCCATCATCTGTCACCCAAACCAGGGACACCAAATCCACCGGTGACCTCAGTCTCTGGCACCTGCTGTCCCCTCTGCCCAGCCCTTGTCAGCTAGTTGGTGAGACCTGGAGGTGCAAGTCAGCTTCTCAAAGCAGGAAAGAGGGGAACTCAACTGGGTTAGGGACATGCCCACAGAGCAAATCACAGGAAGGGGGAACTCCCCGGCCAAAGGACAGCCTCCTGACCTAGGGTCGTGCGGCCTGTGTCTGCGGAAACCCAGACATCACTTCCCTTTCTGCCTTGTCAATTTTGGAGTTTTTGGTTCAAAGTTTGACTGACTCACCTTGGAGGGTCAGAAATCAAGTGAAAGCACAGGTCACAAGTTCTTCCAGAAGCAGCCAGTGTTTGAAATTTAGATATAGGGAAAGCTCACAATTCACTCTGCCAGTTATTAGACATTTATCCAAGCCCACAAGGAAGAAAGTGAAAAGATCCATATTAAACTTGGCTCGGACTCTTGTTTCAGACTTGTCCTGTCTGCTCTGGTTAAAAGAACGACAAGCTAGGGACACAGTCCTGCAGGGAGAACCCTCTGCTGAGATGCCGGTCACCCTGACCGCTTGGGTCTGCACCAGAATATAAAATTTTAATCAAGCAACTTAGGTAACCTTGAGCAAGCACACAACAACCCTTAATCGCCTCACAGCAGAGTCAAAGGGTGGCTTTGTCATTACTACTGATGTTTTTGACTGGATCATCTGGGAAATTGCCTCAGACTCCAGAGAAAACGGACTGAGAGTGTTTCAAAGGGCTAAAATAGTTGATCTGTGAACCAGCCCTTCCTTGCTTGCCCAGCTCAGCCCCACTGAACTAGAAGGCTAGTGCAATATTGCATCACCGACCTCCCCAAGCCTCTGGCCAGTCTGACTTCCCCTTCCTGCCCCTGCCCTCTGCCTTTTCTTGCTTAGAGGTCCCTGGCCTAGTCCCCTGGCCTTTGCTCTAACTTGCTATCGCGGGTATATGGATGACCAAGGTTGAACTGCAGCTCCCCGCCCCCACTCTGCCAGCGGAGCCAATGTCAAATCCAGTCCAAACCAACCAGAGCACTTGCCTCTATCTTGATTCCCCACAACGCCTCCCTCCCAACTGCCCATTTCACATCCTTCACTTATAAACTGCATTCACTGGCACAGTAAAGCTAAAACGAAGAAGGGGCAACAAATTAGAGGAGCAGGAAGCCTTTCCCTTCTAGGCAGGCAGGCACAGCCCCCTCCCATCCTAGCCTCGCCCAGCCCCCCACTTTGCTTCTCCAGTGGACCTGGAGACAATCTGGACTTCAAGACTGTTCCCAGAAACAGAGCACCTGATAGAACACCCTGGAGGCAGAAACTGATGCTCAAGTGGCACCTCTGAACAGAGCCAATCATGAAAGAATACAACAAGCTCTAGCCGCTGACTCTGACACCTGCTCTAATCACTACCTCATCCCTCCCCGGACCCTCTCCTCCTCTGCCACCCATGGCCACACACGTGGGAAGAGGACAACCCTTCTGAGTAAACCTGGAAATTTCCTTTAGGTAGAAGCCCCCAGATTCCCACCACGAGGGGTCCCCCCACCTCAGGCTCTCTGGGGCAAAGAAAGCTGTGAACCCACCTTGTCCACAAAGAGGGTGCAGTTAGGACTAGAAATGTAGGGACACACACACACACACACACCCCACCTCGATCTAGGGTCACCTGCCACCACGGCCGTGCCTGGGTTCCCCCCTAGCACGCAGTCGAGGCATGCACAGCTCCGGGTCACCTCTGCCAGATCCCTCCCCCACCCCGTCCCTCTTCCCCCCCCCTCCTCCTTTTCCTGGCGCTTGCACCACGGGCCCTGGCCAGGGATCCGGGAGGCGGGTCTTGGAGGAAAGATATAAGCGGCACCGGACACTGCCAGGTGCCGACTTCCGACTCGCCATCTGGAAGAGCTCAGGCTTCGGAGAAGGAGCAGGAGGACACGAGGCCGGCCGCATCCACGGACGCGTTGACCGCCGCCTAAGTGAGTCCCAGCCCAGGCGCGGGATCCCTTGAATAGCCCTGGGAGCTCCTTCCGCGCGCAGATGGAACTGTTCCTCGGCAACTAAGGTCCCCTTCCCTCTGCTTCTGCGCAGGTGGCCCAGTCCCCCAAGCATGGAAGCCGTACAGGAGCTGCTGCCTCTGGCCAGGGAGATGCTGGCGGCGCGACCCCGGAGCAAGCTGGTGAAGCTGTACGTGCTGGGCGGCGTGCTGGCGCTGGTGGGAGCGGTGATCGGCCTGGTGGAGACCGTGTGTGGCCCCTTTGCCGTCGCCAGCCGTCTCCGGGAACAAGAAGCAGCCGCCACCGAGCTGCGGGCGGCCCGGGAGCGACGCGCGCTACGGGAGAAGGGCAAGCAGCCCGCGGCCGCGCTCTTCAGCCGGGCCCTCTCCAACCGGCTGCACGCCTCATAGGCTCCGCCAGGAGATGGACAGAGACACGCCAGGGGTGAGGACAGGAGGCAGGTGCTGTCTGACTTCTGAGAAGTCAGTGACACCCGGAACCGACCTAGCACGGGGACGAGTTCCGGTTAAGTTTTGCTGCTGTGCAGCGCTGCGTTGAGAAAAAAAGTCCAACACAAGTTGGCTTTGAGCTCTCCGAGTGCACTTAGCATTGCGCGTGAGGGAGGAAGGAAGAGTGCTTTTTATACTATTATTATTGTTGTTGTATTACAGAAAGCACCATTTTGCATTTTAAAATAAAAAAAATGTTTTATATTAGTGCTGATCATCTAATTTCCCGAGAGTGGCCTGGGCTGGGAGCGAGGACGGGGATGCAGAGTGATGGCAAGTCACCAAGAAGTGTCCCTGTCCACTGGGGAGGGTGTGGCTTCCAGAGGATCAGACACCACTTGCTTCCCACCCAGAGGCTCTAATCACACTGCTGCTCTTACCATCATTGCTTACATGTCCACAGAGGGCTCTTCCTTGCTCCGGGGCAGGGGATGGAAGAAATCTGGAAGAGGTCTTAGCATTTTAAGATGAGGTGAATCTACTGGCAACAGGATGAATGGTAACTGAGTGGTCCCAGAGAAGAGCTGCTTCTCCCTCACACCCTTGTACTGAGGGCCCAAGAGTTGATACCACTTTAGTGACAGGTTGAGAGAAAGAGCAGAGAGCAGTAGGAGGGAGGAGGAAAGAGAGAGAATGTGAGTGCCAGAGAACAAGGGAGCTCCCTGGTAGTAGAAGAGGCAAGCTCCCCGATCTGCAGAAACAGAAGAATAATAAACTTCTAGGGATAATAATAAATAAATAATAAACGACTAGGGAGGCGAGCTCTCTCTGGTCCTTGCCTGGCTCTGGCTCTCCACCCTCCCTCGCGGTGACCATTAGGATCACTCCAGTAACCCCTCAAAACAAACAAACAAACGTACAAACAAACAAAAAATCTAGAATGGACAGACAACAAGGAAAGCTTAGAATCAGACAGGAAACGGCCAGCGTGGACCCAAACATGCCTCACTAGGTGGGACACAAAGATTAGTTACGCCTCACTGGGGTATTGGGGATTTCTCTGCACACCCATCCTAAAAAAAATGTACTGTACCTAAACTGATAACTGTATGGAATCAGGTTGAATATAAACCAAAATTGAAATGTCTATGAAGAAGTCACAGGATGTAGTTGAGAACCAGCATTTTCCTATTAACATACTATTAATCAATATCATGTCAATTAATGCCATAAGGTCGTAAATGGTTGTTGATGTTATGTTGGGGCTTTTCATTGATTGGGATGATACTTTGCTGGCTTTACCTTCAGACCAGAGATGGTCTCACCAAGAAATCGTTGAACCCACTAGGACAATAAGACACTGGACGTTATGCTTGGTAAATACTTCCAATGAAAGAACCTCAACTGAATTTGAACTGTGGTAACGCAGCAAGGTGGAGAAATCCACCATGGGGAAAGGGTTCAGGGAGGGGTGCGGGGAATCCAGTGCCCATAACACTGTGTCACATAATGCAATGCAATTAATTAAAAAAAAAAAAAAAAAAAAAGAGGCAAGCTCCCAAGAACATGCCTTTACTCCACTCAGCTTCCTCCCCAAGAGCCCAGGTTACAGGGAAAAGCTCCAGGCTAGAAAAGGAAAAGACAAAAGACCAGTCAGTCATCACCAACTTAAATCCTCTCTCCTGGCTCTCTAAGGAGCCTGCTGAGCAGTAATAACTAACTTGGTGGATTTACAAGACTTGCAACCAAGGAGTCCAGGGCTCTAAAAGGATGACCAGCAGCCCAGGGCTTGAGCCTGAAGGCACTTGACGGGCACTCTCTTTGCATTTTAGTGTTACCCACCCTCCCCAACTATAGACAACTTTACTCCAATCATCAACTCCACAGTTGAATAAATAGATAAATGGCTCCAGGCACTGCCTGATAAGACTGTTGCCAAATCACTCCCCTACACACACACACACACACACACACACACACACACCCCTCCATTTCATTTCACATCTGTGCTCTCTGATCTCATTTCTCTGAATTCTTACAGGGCTTGGAGCCAGGGTCTCACCCTGGAATTTTCTGTTGCTTTGTGGACAGGGCCCTGGCCCTCATGATAGAATCCAGAAATCTGTCAAGTTCCAGATCCCAGGCCGATAGTCCACTCCAGATAATGACCTGATTCTTTGATCAATCCATTGATGATATTAGAGCAATAGTCGTAATCAGAAGGGGAACACTGCTAAAAAGTCTATCTGTGAACCAGTGTCAGGAGACATTTCTGGCTGTCTGGGAGGGAAACCTCTGCAGGTATCCAGGGGTAGACACCAGGATGCTGGTCAAACTTTAATTTTAGACCGTGTCCCCAACCGCTAAGACCTCTCCATTGAGAAAGTGAGTGAAAAGGAAGGAAGGGAAAGGGCTTGCCAACAGCTTGAGAATCAAGGTTCTGAAGTGGTCTCATTAGACCATGTTTGGCTGTGGTGGAGCACAATGAAGTCCTCCCAAAGTTGGGAGGAAAACTGTCCTTGGCTCTATACCATTTGGCGGTTTCATCAAAAACCTAGGAGGGAAGGTTTGCTTATCAATTCTCTTAGTGACTCAGCCCTGGGTGAACAGAGCCAGGATTCCAAACAACTCAGTAGGTTGGAAGCAAGAAGTCAACTTGCCTAACACTGAACAAAGATGCAGCACAGACTCGGGTCTGTATAGCCACAGAATTAGGAAAGCTTATTCCAGCGTAACAACAGCTAATGAGGGCCAGTGAAAGAGCTGCTGAAGCAAGTTAATGCTTCAAGTATTATGCCCAAAAGAAGAGAAGAGCTGTTGGTGCTGACACATTATGCAATCTATCAGCTGAAAAACAAAGAAGGTAAATAAGACTGCTTGGACTCTCCTTCGGGTAGACCTAAAACGTTGACAAAGCTAGTGGGGAAACTGTCTCATGCCACTTAAATTCTTTCTTGATTCATGAAATAGTATCTTCCTTAGGAACTAATTCTGCAAATTAAGTAAGATAACATACACATGATTGTTATTGTTTTGATATTTTGAGACTATTTCTTAAGTTGATCTAACTAACGCTTTTGTCTGTTAGAAAATACCTTAACCTGGTGGATAAACTTAATAGTTCTCAAAACTAGTAATAGTAAGACCCCTCTTATTTACCTTGTTCTTTATAAAATACCATAAAACTTTTACCCATTAATATAAATACATGGCTTTATGCTATATCAGAAACCATCTTGCACTCTGTATAGTCTAATGAAAACAAACAGTAGTTATCAGCAGTATTTATGAGTCTCCACATTCTTAGGAAAAATTTGAATTTTCTTTAGTCCCAGTTATCAGAAACAGTTCAAAGCCTGTTGGTTCTATCAATGACAGACCACCTATCATCAAGCTTTTTAAAAGCTGATCAATTACTTCTGAGAATCAGCCAATCAGGAATAGACCCACACCATCAATTGTATCTTAGAGTACCAACCAGTCAACAAAGAATCATGCTTCTATAGATGGTGTCAACCCTTATATCTTAGAAATTATTCCAGTTCCGGACATTCATGCTCCTCCAAATCTTTCAGCTGTGTAAGACCAGCAGTCCACTGTTCTAAGACACTCAGGAGTAAAGTTCACCCTTCTTGCCATTGGCAGGCGGTTCCGTGCATTTCAGACTTTTGGTAGTGCTCTCATCATTCTTTGACAATTCTGATGGTTCTGCCATGATTGCTTTAATGACTCCTATTTGGAAGGATTTCAGGGACCCCCTGAACCAACAGGTACACTTAGGACTCCTGAACCCTAACCCCATTTGTCCACTACTGGACAAGTGTCAACTATATGAGCTCTGATGACTTAACTGAGTTCTCATTGCCTCTATCATCCAATAAGTCTTCATAGAAGATCATTCTCTCTAGCTTTTAATATATTTAGAAATAATGGCTTACAGGTGCATGTTCTTAGAAATAATCATACATTCCCATTTGCACCATGAATTGAAGTAGCTCAAAGCGAGCCCTCAGCAGAAGCTGAGCAGACACCAGTGACCTGCGCTAGGACTTGCCAGCCTCTGGAATAACCAAATGAGCTGTCTGTCCTTAGAAATTATCCAGTCTTGGGCATTCTGTTATAGTAACAGAAAGTAGAGTAAGACAAGCAAAAAATTTCAAACTAGAGATGAAATAAAAATGAATATAAATGTTAGGAAACTTTCAAAGAGTGGCTGGCAGGACTCTATCTAATATGGCTCAGTGCTCTATCCCCTGTTCCAGGCCCAGTGCCTGGCACAGAACAGGTACTCCCTAATACCAGTTGAAAACTAAATAAATGGATGGAGAGAGTGAATATTTTTACTTATGGTGGTTCATGTCTTGGTTTGGAAGAAGTCAACACGGGTGGGGTATGATGTTCCAACAGCAACTGATGCGAATCAGGGTAGAATTATTGTCCCAACGTACACAGCCCTTATTCCTCCTGAATCCCACTGTGGACTCCCCTCCACCATACACTCATTCATAAATAATTCCCTAAGGAGTTAATTGATCATGGAAAAGGTGTGGACACTCAGGCCTCCCAGAACACACTGGATTGCTAATGTCCCTCCTGATGCGGGAAGAAAAATCTGCCCAAACTGAATTTTTGTTTCAGTGACTTCCTTTCAGGCCTCGCCAGGAATCTCAGGGAGCAGGGCAGGGGCTCTGTCTGGCATGCCCCTCCCCTCCAGCATTTAGTGCTAACAATAGTAATGGATAATTCTCCGGGGCAACCAGGACCGCTTCCAAGCATTGCCATCCTGGGCACTAGCTCGGGGGCTGCTCTGTCCTTTGGGGAGACCTGATGCCTGATGCCTAGGACTGGCCCGGCCTGGCTTCCCTTTGGGGCTCCCTCTGCAGGCGTCTCCAGGGTTGCCAGCTCTGTCCCCCGCTAAAGGGCCTTCTTCCTTGGCCTGGGTTTCACCTTCTTGTATCAGGTGGCACACCAGCTGGTTGCAGTCCCAATTCAGGTCTTCTGACTCCTCCCAGAGACCAACCAACTTCTGAGCAGGAAATCCTGCCCCTCCCCCAAAGAGTGGGAAACCGCAAAGGAAGAGATGAAACAGAAGGAAAGGCAGAGGAAGAGGGAGAGAGAAGAGAAGCGAAGGGAAAAAGAAATCAATTGAAAGAAGTCAGACTTGTTTGAAATCTCAAGGTAAGGCTTTTTCACATCACACTTTATATAGCAGTATGACATTTGGGCCAGGGCTTAATCCTCAGTAGGTGTGTCCCCAAAGGCTACTGAAACAATAAGGCTGTTGAGGTGATTTGGGCTGGGGCAGGGGGGAAAAACTGGGGCAGAAGGCAAATTTCAATGTCAAATGCTGGTCAAAAAAAAAAGTGCCCAAGGAGCTTTCAAACACGTAGGAGGGACGATATGAGAAGACGCAGATGGAGTCGGACGTATGTTACTGGCGCTGAGAGTGTTCTGATCATTTTGGGACAGAAAGTTAAATTAGAACAAAAAAGTTGTCAAAACACTGTTTAAAATTTGCCTGTTCTTTCGGAATCTAACAAAGATTGCAGGTTGTAAGAATTTTTTTTTTTTTTTTGGTTGTTGAAAGATCAGCTTTAGACCGATGACAGACACAAACACTGTGCTGCATCTTGGGCTTGGCAGAGAGGGCTGCTAGCTGCATGTTGCACACAGTTGTCAGCTGGTTTACTAGCCTTGATACGCATTTCTGGAGCTTTAAGCATGGCTGATTTTAACTCAAGAGACTCTGTTCAATGGACCAGGAGAGTCTTGAGTTTGTCCATCAAAAATTCCGCAAGAGCTATTCACCTGTCCCTTAATCCCAGGCCAGCCAGGCGGCTCAGGACACTGACCTTTGGAGTCTTAAAGGGGCCCATCCAGAGAGAATCCCAAGGTCAGGGAGTTAGAGAAGCCCTGACAGGAAAAGGAAATGCCATTCCCCACCCTCCCCATTTACCCAAAGCCTTGCTTGCCATCAGGAGGCGGCATCTTCCAGAGCACTGCCGTGCACTGATCCAGGCACTCGGAGGGATTAAAATAGCTGGGCGCATGCTTCAGACAGCCTCTATGGACAGTGAGGATATGTGCTCACAGCAGTTGGCTTTAAAAGTCCTGCTCCTCCAACTTTCCCAACAGAGCTTAACAATACCTCAGAGCCGCACTTGAGCTACTCTTTGATTGCTGTTGTTGTTGTTTTAGTGCCATATTTCTCTTTGGAGTTTCTGTGAATTAATCAGAGCCGGAAGCTCAAAGGGGAGTGGGAGAGGTCAATAGAGATGGAATGATCTCCCTTGTGCTTTTGCTTGCCAATGTTTGAAAAGAATTGCCTTCCCCTCTTTAATGCAATGTGAAAGTGAAATTCAAACCTTAGTTCTTTCTTAACCCTAACTTTGGTACAACTGAAAGTTCCCTGCACCCAGTGTCTGAGCTGGAACAAATCTTAAAAGTAATCCGATTTAATTCCTCCTGTTGGCCAAGAAAGGAAATTGAAGCTAAGACAAAGAGAGGGCCCAGCACAAGTTCACGTGTGTCACTATTAGAGCAGGATCTGGGACACGGTTCACCTGTTCCCGTCCAAGGACCTTTTCAGAAGTCATCCAAACTTCACAGGAAGGTGCCCACACAGCAGTAGGGTGGGATATTCGAATAACTCCTTCCAACCCTCAAGTAATCCTTGCCTGGCAGAAATAGAATAAATAAATTTTGATAATAGTAAAGGTGTTCTACAACCTGTTTTATCACAGTAAGGAGACCACAGTGTAGAAAGACTTAAGGCAGGTTTGTCTAGATAGAAACAGGATATTCTACCTACCGTTGACTCAGCATTGTCTTCTCATCAAATCCTTGTCTTATTTTCATTTTATAAATTTCACTTTTTTTTTTTTGGTAAAGAATTTATTTCCTTGAAAGACAGAATTTCAGAAAGAGATGGGGAAACGAGGACAGAGATCTTCCATCTGATGGTTCACTCCCCAAGAGTGAAGAGACTGGGGCTGGGTCAGGCTAAAGGCAGGAGCTTGGAACTGCATCCAGGTCACCAACACTGGTGCAAGGGCCCAAGTACTTGAACCATCTTCTGCTGCCTTCCCAGGTGCATCAGCAGGGAGCTGGATCAGAAGTAGAGTAGCCTAGACTCAATGTGGCGCACAAACGGGATGCCAGCACTATAAGTGGTGGCTTAACTCACTGCACCATATTGGCCCCAGATTGTGCTTCAAAGTTTGCTCAGATTCAAAAGGAATAAGATTAATATTTATGAATCCTTTGTTAGTGGGCCTGGTCACACTCTGTACTAACATGGACTTTAACAATTTGGTGACTGCCATGGATTTTACCTCAACAGGGACTCCTGCTCTAGCTAACTCTTTCTTTTTCCCCCTAAGATTTACTTTTATTTACTGAGAAGACAGAGTGAAATGGACAGAGATCTCCCACCTGCCACTTCCTTCCCTCGATGGCTGCCATGACGGGTGCTAGGGCAGGCCAAAGCCAGGAGTCTGGAACTCCATCAGGAAGTCCCCTGTGGGAGCAGGAGTCTATGGGCCATCCTCCCCAGGTGTGTTAGCAGAGAGCTGGATTGGAAGCACAGCAACCAGGACTTGGACTGGCATTTCAGGCGCTGGTTTAACTGCCAGGACCAACGCTGCCAACCCTGCTCTAGTTCTCTCTGCTCACCTGAAGTTCTCCTGACATAGCGTGCTATTTCTAGACTCCTCACTTGAACACATGCAGGTCCCTGTGCTTCCAAGGCCTCTCCCTGGACTTTGGCTCCATTGCTCGTACTTCATCGTCATGTTTTAGCTCCAGGACTTCTTACATAACCCACCCCACACCTCCTTAACATCCTGTGCACACTTTTACTGTAATCATCACCCTCATGTGAATTGAAATTTATTTGCATTTTCTCCTTCCATCTGACTACAATCTCCTTGAGGTCAGATGTCCCATCATTCTTCATCTTTTAGCGTCCCAGAATCTAATATAAAGTTCCAGGTTTATATTATATTATATTTGAAAAAAAAAAACTAGATGAGTAAAAAAACCCAAAATCTCTCCATCGTTTCCTTCCATTAAAGTCATTTTTAAAAGGGTCCCCTGTGGACAACTTCAAAAGGAAAAGATGTCACTCCTTCCCAGACAGGCCACTCCTAAAAAGGCCACCTGGGGTTAAACATGTCACTCTGAATAAGCATTTCCATGTCTGTGAACTATGCTGTTCTCAAGGGGGAGGAGTTGTGTGTTCTGAACCATGAATACGGGGATGGAGACACTGGCAAGTGAGAGAGGTGAGCACCCTTCCAGGAGATGGAAAGTGAACAACAGGGTGGGATGCTTCCAACCTGAGGCTGCTGAAAAGCCCAAGGACCAGCTTCAGAAGGTCAGCCAGAAGCCACCCCGCTAAGAGGCTCCAGGGGATTAGGACTTTGGGAAATTCCAAGACCAAAGGGAGAGATGGGAGTGCAGTCAGAGAACACACAGCCTCCACCAATGCCAGCTGCTGCAGCAACACCAATGCCAGCTGCTGTACCAACACCAATGCCAGCTGCTGCACCAATGCCACCAGGCATCACAGAGGGTGATGCTTGGGGAAGTGACATGAGAGAAAGCCTCCATGTTGAAAGACAAGATCCCTCAAGCTGCCAGAGGCAGAACAGCCCGGCTTCTACCTGTAACCACCCACCCCAACCCGGCCCACAACTATGCAGAAGTAAGGAGTCAACTCTGTGGAAAGGATCCAATCAAAGAGAGAAATCCTGGCAGTATCCAGCATGGTGGCACAGCGAGTTAAGCCTGTGTCAGTGGCATCCCCTAGCAGAGCTCCAGTTTGAGTCCCAAGTATTTTATTTCTGATCCAGCTCCCTGCTAATGCACCTGGGAAGGCAGCAGAAGACAGCCTATGTACCCATGTGGGAGACCCAAATGGAGGCCTTGGCCTGGCCCCATGTTGTGGCCATTTGGGGAATGATCCAATGAATGGAAGATCTCTTTCTGTTCATTCCCTCCCTCTGTCACTCTGACTTTCATACAAACCAATCTTTAAAAAACAAAGACACCATGGCATAACACGATAATCCTCGGCTCCAGCATCCCAAAGGGGTACCAGTTCAAGTCCCAGCTGCCCCATTTCTGATTCTGCTTCCTCTTGATAGCCTGGGCAAAGCAGTGGAAGACAGCCCAAGTGCTTGAGTCCCTGCAGCCACATGGGAGGCCTGGAAGAAGCTCCAGGCTCCTAGCTTTGGTCCTTGCCAGTTCTGGTTGTTGCAGCCATTTGGGGAGTAAACCAGCAGATAGGAGATACTTGATAACTCATCTTTTAAATAAAAAATAAATTTTAAAATTCTTTTTTTTCTCCAAACTTTCCCAAAATAAAAGAGTCACATTCCTTATGGAATGGACCCAGCAGGTGCCCCTCACCCTGCACCAAAGCGTCTCATTGGCAATGTTAGAGGCTCCGGAGGCTCACAAGCATTCCAGGCAGAGAAAAACAGTCACAAACAAGCATCAGGAATCTGAACAGGAATTAGACTTCTCAGAGTCAATACTGGAAGCTAGAAATGGAAATGCAGTATGGCTATGTCTTCCAATTCTGAGAGGGGGGAACAAAAAAAAACAAAAAAAACCCTCCATTCTAGAAATCCACACTTAGCCAAAAACACCAAGGGGCAGGTGAAGCAAGGACATGCAGACCGGAAGCGCCTGCCAGTGTGCCTGTGGCCAAGGAGTGACGAAGGAACACCCACATAAAGATGCTAAAAATGTGAAATATCATTCCTGCACGCCAGGTCTCAAAATAAACTCCCAGCCATTCATAAGGAAATCAAACAGGCAAGAGAGAAGTAAGAGTCCATCCTGGGCAGTGTCAAAGAAATGTCCTCAGAGAAACTGCCCAAGTACCCAGTCCTCTGCAGAGCAGGAAGAGAACTCCAGGAGGGAAGTCTCCAAGAAAACAAAAGGAGCCGGCAGACACCCGGTGAATACAATCTATCTGTGTTTATAGCTCCTGTCAGGGAGCTGGCAAGGAAGAAAATGAACCAATCGGACAGGTGATTATTAACTGCAGGGGAAAACAACGAGAGCACATGACACAGCTAGGCTGTAAACACTGATCCTTCGAAGAGTGGTTAGTCAATGAGTGAAAGTTGCAGCGTTCCAGTAAGAGGAAGCTAAGTGGGGTACAA